GAAATGTTTGGTGTGAGTCATGTTCATTTATCCAAAAAGCTGGGTTTTTTTCTGAACGCGGGCACCTGCGGCGTGTGTTAGAGCGAATGACCTCAGGAAGGTGTTGCACCACGGGCGTACCGAAATCCTGACGTGCTTCACCCCCAGCGAGGCGTACATCGCGGTTACACACCACAGACAGACCCGTGCTCGTACGCCGTGCTCAGCGAGGAGGGAGAGGAGAAAGCCCGAAGCAAACACAGGGCTAGCAGATTTCCTGCTGGGAAAATCCACAATAGGTGTAAATAATTTTGGATGTTATGGTAATCCATGCTGCGGCTTGTGTTGCACTTACCGTGTCAATGGTTGCATTTAAATACCCGAACTGAAGCTGGTTTTCATTTCCCGTGCACATTTTAGCGTGACCTGCTGGGAAGGTTAATAGTTCTTTTTTATTGCTTCTTTCCAGCGTTGTCAAAAACGGTAAAAGATGCTTCGGTTCTTCAGCTCTGGGAGAAGGGCAGGGATTAATATAGTGCTGAACTCGGTAGGAACAAGATGGAAAGAGGATTTTTGGTCAAAACAAAAAAAAAAAGGAGGGGAAGCAAATACAGAATAAACAATATGGATGATTGGAGAACCGAAAAAATCTCCTGTGGAAGGTAATTGGGGGAAATGAGTTAATGGTACACACCCCACTGGAGCTGCGTGATGACAGCGCCCAGCGTGGGCTCTGAGGCTTGTCTGGCTCGCGGGGGATGGAGCAGCAGGAGCTGTACCGGCAGCGTGAGGAAAGCTGTGAGGCACTATCAAAGGTCGGATCCAGCGCTCACTAGCCAGGTAGAGCCCCAGTTGTCAGACTGTTCAGTTCTCAGCTGCCTGAAACAACCGCTGATGGTGGGTATGGGCACAGGAGCTGGCTGGAGGACTGGGGAGCGTGGAGACTTCTGACACTTCTGGTTGTCTCACTGGCATGGACAACCCATACGGGACATCCCAATGAGCAAACTGCGCCAGACGGGCTCCACCGACTGGGTCACTCCCAGCTGCTCCCCAGATACACTCGGAGGTCTTCTAATAATGAGGCAGCTTTCTAAGGCAGAAAAACCCCAACCCTGACTCTATTTGACCATGGAGCCTTATGTCAGTCCTAGGACGGGTCAAATCAGCCAAGTTAGTAAAACTGAGGAGGACGTTTCCAGATTGGGGTGAAATGCGTTTAGTTTTACGGGGATTTTCCCACTGATTTCAGTGGCAGCTGGCTTGGTTCTCAAATTGCTCCTGTTAATTAGTTACTACCCACATCCTGCACAGATAGATTAGTCATGTCAAGCTTTATTATTGTCCATAATAGCACAGTTAATCTAGAGGAGGCCCAAACATTAGGACATTTTCCTTTTTACCATGAGAAGTTCCTTAAAAGTGGCTGAACTCAAATCCTCTTGCACAAATCTCCCCTGAGCGGCACAGCTCAAATGTACAACCACATCTTCTTTTCTTCCCCTAGGGAAGCTCAACAAGCTTGCTTTCTTTCAGGAATTACAGACTCAAACCATAAACACAGCATTTATCAGTGCCCTCCAGCACAGTACTGCTGCATCCCTGGAATACCACTTTTACTGGGCACCTCCTTGCTAGGTGCTGACTCAAACAATCCCCATCAGACTCTGTGATAATTAGCCACACGCTGGCTTGCTGCCAGGTCGGTCCCTTCAGCTGCATCAAGAAGACATGAGGGGAAAAAAAAGGCACCAGCCATGAAACATCAGTAGCACAGGAGGACACTAGGCAGTTCATCCATGTGTCACCCATATGCCTTTTGCAGCCTCGTACCTCACTGTCGTTTCCTCCAGGAGCAGATCCACCACCTGCGGGTGGTCGGTGCTCCATCTGCTCCTTCACAGGAGATGTGCTGCAAGTGGTCGTGCGGTCTCAGCTGCTCCAGACTGCCAACAGCCCTTGAAGAGCTCTTTAGGGCCATGCGAGCCCTTTTGCTGATCGGCTTTGCGGGTCCCTCACCAGCTCAGGATTACGGTAGCTCCCCACTACAGCTAGCTTACTCCTGTTACTCCAGTGCCGAGTCGCGGTTAGTTAAGCCTGGCTGCAGAGCTGATCGAACGGGGTTTATCTGTTGTACCTTGCTGCTTGTGCCTGGCCCTTTATGCGTCCGCCAGCGCGGCTTACAGAGCCTCGCGCCCGCTTCCTGCTTGGATACTCACCAGACCCCCTTCCCCACTGACGGATGAGTGATGAGGTGATGCGCTGGCAGCATTTCCACTCAGTGACATTTGCCCTGGGGGGTTAGGAAGATCCATGTTTATGGCTGTTGTCATGTCTCTTTCCCAATGTTTTCCTTTCTAGACTAAACAAACCAGCGCGCTCTACTCGGAAGCTCGTGTTTTTAAGGCTCTTGTTTTTGTGGCTGTGCTCTGCGTTCTCCCCAACTTGCTTATGTCTGTGTTCCAGTGAAGGGCTTGACAGCTGACAACTGCCGCCTACTTTACCAGCGCCAACAGCTGTATATGTATTTATTTGCCATGTTTTGCCATAAACACTTCCCTTGCTACAATGCAAAATGGCATTTTTCTAAATGGCAGTATGCTGCTGAGCCCCTTCCTGTAGTTCTGCTGCCTCACCAGGTATTTACCCACTTTGAGTGCTGGTACCGTGGTCTTCGCGGTCTTGTCCTTGAGTGTATTTGTTATTTCATTTTGACCCATTTCTTTAAACTGTCAAATTCATGCAAAGCCTAATCGGGTCCCTCAAAATACTTGTGCTTCACTCATTTCTTCTCACTAAGGCAATGAAGCTGTGGATGAAGCAGGCTCAAGAGAAGAACGTTCAGGCAAAATGATGAGAACTTTCAAGTTTTGGTTATTCCAGGAACTCCAGCTGGTCAGAGCTTCATCTTCCTGTGTGTTTATTTTGTTGCTCTTATGTTCTCCTCATTCTGCTGGAACACGAGTTAGTGAACGTGGGTTAGTGAGCTGACAGGAGAAACGAGGAAGACTGTAAGGTGTACTAAAAGCATCAGTTTTCATAGTTACAGCTGCCAAAGTTTTATACCAGTAGATAAGATTATTAGTACATTTTATAGCACTGTCACTGTTTTATTGCCATTGATTACCTGCTGTGTCACCCTGGCTATTTTCACAACTATTTAATGTGGATGGCTCGTTTTCAGTCACATGGGAGGACAAATAAAACAGTACATACGCTGCCGTATGTGCACGCTACTTTGTGTGCTGTAGGAATGGAAAAAATGTAAGGAAGAACTTCCTGGAATCTGGAAAGGGCAAATGTCAACATCACTTGGGAATCTACCAGCGGGGATGATGTTCTTGAGAAAAGCCCGTGGCCAGTTTGTAATGAGGCCTGGTGAAATGCCTCGGGGGATTCCTCAGTAGTCGTAATTGCATACGTTACCCAAAGGAAATAAATACAATGGTGAAAAGCAGCTTCTTTGATTATGCTGGTCTCTTACCTGGAGAAAGAAGTCAGATTAAGTTCCTCATCGTGTCTAAAGCCTTTAAAATAAATTAATTCCCTAGCAACACAATAGCTGGGCACACATTTTAGATTTAAATATCACCCATCTATTGACATATTAGGGCAAATAAAGTTATCTTTAAAAATAGGAGTGTTTATATCTTGCGTTTTTGTTTGTTCAATGGGCGAAACTTTTATTACAATATTTTAAAATCTCTTGCCCAAACATTAAGCCATTATATTCTTTAATAACCCCATTTTTTTTCTTCCTGCTCTTTCTCCGAATAGTCCCTTTATCTTGTTTCAGGGATTGAACGCACACACACTGTTTTCTGGAACAGTACAGGCGAGTTTGCAGCTGCAGGAGGCTGGGCTCTGGCCCTAAGTTTCCAGGTCTGTCAGAGGTCTGTTGCGTAAGTTTGACCAAGCCAAGGTTTTGACTAGTTGGTCACTGAATGACTTCCTTTTTTCTTGCACTGCTCAGGCACCTTTGATCAAAAAACTTGTAAAATTAAACACATTTTAGGTGGCTGAGCATGGATGTGTAACAGACACCATTCTGGTTCAGATCAGTACGGTGCCAGAAGGAGATGCACATGATGTAAGAGCGTAGCAGGTGTCTCTGCTGCTTGTCTCTGATGAGGAGCGGCTGAGGGAGCTGGGGGTGTTTATCCTGGAGAAGAAGAGGCTCAGGGGAGACCTGATCGCTCTCTACAGCTTCCTGAAAGGAGGTTGCAGAGGTGGGTGCTGGTTTCTTCTCCCAAGTGAGAAGGGATAGAACACAAGGAAATGGCCTCAAGTTGAACCAGGGGAGGTTTAGATTGGATGTGAGGGAAAATTTCTTCACGGAAAGGGTTGTCAGGCATTGGAACAGGCTGACCAGGGATGTGGTTGAGTCACCACCCCTGGAGGTGTATAAATGAGGTGTGGGTGAGGTGCTGAGGGACATGGTTTATTGGTGGACTTGGCAGTGTTACATTAATGGTTGGACTTGATGATGTTAAAGGTCTTTTCCAACCTAAACAATTCTATGATTCTAAGAACTGGAAACTTTGTTTTGAACCAGGTTCCTTATGTGCTGCACTGTATCCTCAGAGCTTGGAAATGCCAATTCGCTCATTGAATTACAGAATGGTTTGGGTTGGAAGGGACCTTACAGACCATCTAGTTCCAAGCCCCCTGCCATGGGCAGGGACACCTTCCACTAGACCAGGTTGCTCAAAGCCTCATCCAGCCTGGCCTTGCATATCGGTCTGCAGATAAAAGGAAGTGAGAGTGTGTATTGATCCATGGTCCCGTTCCCTTGTTTCATCCCTTGCACCAGGAGCTGTTCCAACGACGTGTTACGCCCACAGGAAGGACTGGGAAGATCTCTTGGACTGTGCTATTTGCAAAGTGCTGTGAAGTGTGATGTACTGAATATTAAAAAATACCATCAATGTTTGCATTAGAATCTAGGTATTTAGGAAAAGAACCTGGTTCATGATTTCATGTGAAGCCCACACGGCTTGAGAAGTCTAACGTCAGAATTGTTTGTTGACATTATTTTTATTGAAGCATGGATCTTTAGCTTGGTTCACCATAAAGTGAAGCATTTTATTTATGATAATAGACAGTTTAGGGCTATAGGGGCATTATAACGTTGCTGGTGTAGATACAACTTTATCAGAAGATACAAACATGACCCGCAATAGAAACAAACACCAAAGAGAACACGATGAAACGTTCACTGTTTACAAATCACTTCATTACTACAGACACCAAATGGCAGTTACTGTAAGTAAATCAGTTGCAGAGAACTGACTACATTTAGACAGGGAATTGGAAACTTCTGTTTGGGGCTTCATCCACAACTCCGTAGTAGAAAAAAGTTTAATGTCAAGCATTCTTTTTTATCCACAAAACAGTGCTAACCAACAGACATATCAAAGAATAAGACTGAAGGATATCAATGCCTTTACAACTACTTTTGCAATTATCTTCTTGATTAGGTACTTTGATTTTTTTTTTAATACATTTTGTCAGAAGGTAAATAGCCCAAAAATCAGCAGCAAAAATATTACAACAACATAACAAGTAAATACAGTGCCAATGTGTCATGTTGTAGAAGGGAATACAAAGAGGACAAACAATGATAACTTAATCATATAAAATGACACAGAGCTGAAATACAGTGCACTTAAATACCTATGTGACAAAGAATGTTAAATTCTGTATTTAGTATGTAGGTTTTTTTAAACATAAAATCTGAAAAGTCTTTGTGCTTAAACCTTGTTTCCTGTTAAACAGAATTAGTTGCTTACTTCCAATACTGCCACTGTAACTTATATTACAACAGATCACAATTTTCACAGACACATCAACATTAAAACATTTACCTATGAGAAAATAAGTCACTTCTCATTAGTTCACAGTGCGAAAAAGTGGTGTACACTCTGTCTTGAGAAAGGCTTTCAGTTATTCGTCAAGCCGGTTGCAGAAAAGTCCTGATACCAGACGCAGTGCTAGATTTAAAGAATGGAAAGCAACACATCACATGTTGGGAGGAAAAAAAATAAATGTCTCGTTTCTTCATGGATATCGTCTAAGTGACCTTCGTCTTCTGTTGTAGAAATGCCTGAGCCCATGTTGCCGTGAAAAATTCATCATGTAATTTTGTTTGCGAGTGC